CCCCCAATGTACAATGTTTGGCGATTTGTGCAAGTGCTGAGGCATTTGCCGGTGGAAGAATCATTCTCACCTCAGAGAGTAAATATGGCGCAGTTTGGTGGAACAATTAAAACATAAACGCCAATTGGGTGATAAATGCAGGTGTCTGCCGTAAAGTCAGTGGGATGAGCCAGCCTTTAGACGAGTAGTGTCTGTAGTTTCAGTAATGTTTGGTTAAATTTGGCTTGTTAGTTAACTATCATATGCATTTGTGGTAACGGATCCATGCATGCTTGTTAATTCCATTGCGCAGCTAAGAAGTGTGCAAAGTAATTCCTCAGATTATGGACTCATTTTACTGGGATGCAGTATTAGTCCCAAACAGCCGTTACAAAACCAGGTCGTCGATGTGTGCTACGAACACAATAGTAAATTACCTTATCGTGCAACAGAAGGGGGTCCAATGGCTTTGATTTAACTTACTTTCTATTTCTCCTTATGGTAAATTACTTGCGATTCAATATTGTCTTTTTCGTTGACAGTTATCTGCCAGTAGGAAGCTAAACATGACACAAACTGGAGCATCGTGTGGGTAATTTGACATTATTTGACGATTTTGTCTTATTTTTGTAATTGAAGTGATAGCTTACGTGGTTTACAACATTTCATTACACATGAAGTTGTGGACTTGATCTTCATCCGCAAATATCTACCCTCGCAGTTGCATTGATTTCAACCTCGGAGCTAGGACTCCTCATTTGCCCTCTATTTATTCTGCTTCAAAATAACCAAAGTTTTCTTTGATGCACTAGTGTTGCCTGCGGTGTTTAATTCCCTTTGCTATAATATACGGCGCTTAGGTGAAAGTGATTCATTCTTCAAGGTTGTCTTCCACTTTTCAATTCTGGAGCTTTAAAAATGCTACAACTTTGGGGTATTAATGACATTGCAATGAGGTTCCTTACGCCTACATTCACAAATTGTATTATCGTGCTCAAACTCATTTCATTGCTCGCGTAGCTTGCTTAATCATCAGATCCACAGAGCAAAAAGAAGAAATGGGTAAGACACGATACGTGAACCCAACGTATGAGGCATGACAAGCTTAAGAAATCAACTCGGAGAAACCAAGAAGGCGTGGGTAGCAGGTAAGCTCAATCCATCAAGGTGTGTCATTTTAGCAAAAC